GATGATTTTCTGCGGCAACTAAGTCCAAATTCTGCGGTTACTAACTTATAGTTTCTGCAATAATTCTGCACTTTTAAAAAATGAATAATTCTACAAAATTCAGTAATAAAATTTAAATTCTGCGATATTCTATTTATTAATTTTATAATTCTGCAATATTTAATAAATATTTATTTATTAAAATATATCATATTTAATGATTTAAGTGAAGCTTCAGAAAGATTTTGTCTACCACTAGCTAAAATATTATTGTAAATAGAAAAGCTACACTCTACACTACAGCTAGATATAGGTAACCAGATATAGTCTAAAGCTATATCAGATAGCAATGGTAATTTTTTTGTATTATTTTTCCAAAATAGATCTAAATCTAAATTTTCAAATATTTCACATCTACAATAAATTGCCCATTCTCTTAATATTTCTTCTGATGGATTAGCTAATTCATGAATAATAGAATATTGACGAATATTTTTTCTCTCTAATGAACCAAAACAAATATAAAAAGGATCAAATATTTGACATGCTTTGAATAAAAGATATGAAGGATGAGTATTAATGTAGAAATCATATTTTTTAAATGCAATTTCAAATGCTTCACGGAATATAGGATAAAATTCTAAAAGATCACCCTTATTTTGACGAATTGTGTTATCTAATTCTGCAGAAAAAGAATCAAAATTATGATTTGATTGAAGATAAGCTAATAGTTGTTCTAATCGACTATATATTAAAGAAAAAGCTGGTTTGTTTTGGGTTTGAAAAAAATCCAAATTATAAACAAACTCTCGTGAATAAATTGAAATAAAATGAAGATAAATATGAATTAAACCCAAATCGTTAGGATTATTAAGAACAGATAAAATTTTTTCAATACTATCAGATGGGTTATTTTTAGATTCTTCTTTAAAAAAATCATAGATTAAAAAAAAAATGATCAAAAATATAATAAATCATTTCAAACCATGTATTCCAACGGGTAATAACTGGAAGTAGGATTTTTTGTGGTCTCAAAATTCTATGATTTTTTAAAAAAGTTACATATCGACTTTTACGAGCTGGGCTAGTAACAAAAAAAGCTTTA